GGTGACCTTCAGTGTCTTTATTCTTTGGTTTGCATGTTGACCACGTCCTCTCTGTACCATGTATGTGCATTCTGTTTGATGGTACTGATGGCAATCCATACCACCCATTCCTTCTTTCCATGTCCGTTCCTGCTTTCCCATCCCTACTGGACTTTGTCCTGGGGTAAATGCTGCCCTTTTGATGGCAAATAGTTCCTTATCCAGGATGCACATACCTCTTAAGTGTGTTGTTACCCTTCTGTATTTGTAGTTTGGCTGAAAATTGAGCCTAAGGGAGTGAGTTCATTTCTTGGCCAGAATCTTGGAGATGCCACTAGTCTTCACCTGACCAGTAAGCCTTCTTCCCCTTCTCCTTCTCCTTCTCCTCCTCCTCTTCTTCTATTTCTTCTTCCTCTTCCTCTTTTCTTCTTATGATACTAAGTTTTATTCCAAATTTCCCCCTTCTGTTCAGTGTCTTCTAATGTGATCCCTTCTACAGCCATTGAGTAATGGTTGCAATGCACCATCTAGTGTGTCTACCTCCCGGACATGGGCACTAATATTTTCCCAGGATCCATAGTTCATTGGACTAATCGCTTCTCTGTGTCTTTGATTTCCTGTTTCCAAGTTTTTAAGGAAGCACTATACTTACATTAAAAATTTATGGCAAAATTTATACCACTGCCTGTAGACTTTTATTTTGGTTGATTCTTTCTCATACATCACAATATTGGCATAGGTCTGGGAATATCAATTCATCATTAAGTCTTATTTTCTGAGGAGCCCTGATGGCTTTGTGGGTTAGGAGTGGGGCAGTTAACCACAGATCTGTGGTTTGAACCCACCAGCTTCTCCACAGGAGAGAGATGTGGCCATACGCTCCCATAAAGATACAAACTGGGAAACCCTAAGTGAGCAGTTGTGCTCTGTCCTGTTGGGTCACTGAATTCGCATCGACATAATGGTGGTAGGTTGTTTGTTTGTTTGCTTGCTTTAAATTATCTGAGGGAATTCATGAAACAAAAGAAAGCAACATCTTTGTGAGTGACGTATAAAACATAAAAACCATAGGAAGCATCAGTCAGATAACAACTGGAAACACAGGGAATTCAGGACAGATGACTCCTTCAGGATCAGTGGTGAAAGGGGCGAGGCCTGGAGGGTGAAGGGAATGTGGGGTGGAAAGGGGGAACCAATTATAAGAATCTTAAGTATTGCCTCCTCCCTGGGGGAGGGACAGCAAACAGAATTCAACTTATCAAAAATAATAGAACACAATCAGATGGGCTTCATGTCAGGGATGCAAAGGTGATTTGAGATTAGAAAATCAATATATATAGAAAAAATAGCTTCAATAGAAACATGCCATGCTTAGAAAGAACAGCTCCAAAGTGACCCAGACTTTTTTCCCCTAAGGTCATTCCTGGTGAGGAGGCATGGTACTATTCTTATGACCCTGAAAGCAAACAAACTTCAATTAAGTAGATGCCATTGTCACCTTGCCCAAAAAAGCTCTGGTGAAATCAAAGATCAAGATGCTCTTTTTTTTTTTTTTTTTTAAAGTCTGAGGGGGATAGTGCATTTGAAGTTCATTCCACCAGGTCAGACTGTTAATCAAGCTTTATATTTAGAGGTTCTAGAAATATTGCATAACAGTTTGTGACCAAAAAATGCCTGATTAGTGGCAGATGGGGGACTGTTTTGCCACCAGGACAATGAACTTGCTCACATAGTCATCTCAGTGCACCAGTTTTTGGCAAAAAACAGCATGCTTCTCTTGTCCCATGCACCGTACTCACCTGACTTCACTCTGTGTGACTTCCTTTGTTTCCACAAATGAAGAGGGACATGAAAGGACAGCAATTGGATTACGTAGAATAGGTGAAGAAAACAAACGAGGGAGGTGCTGTCATCCATCCAGACAGATGGGTTTGAAAAATGTTCCCAAGAGTGGAATCACAGATTTGACAGATGTATTAAGTAAGTGTAATGGAGAAAAGTTTGGTGGTGATAAGGTTGTTTTGTGGGGGGGGGGGGGGGGGGGGGGGGGGGGGGGGGGGGGGGGGGGGGGGGGGGG